TATATATGAGCCATTCCACGCTAAGTGGCACATTTTTTTTGCCTTCATATCTCAGAATTTTTTTAAGTTTTTCTACTTAGTAGTCTAAGCCTACAAACAAAAAACTGAAAAAAAAACTTGGAAAAGTAAATCCCTCGTCAAATCACATCTTTCCAAAATTGTGAAATTTGCTAGGTTGCCGCATGACAAGTCTAACTTTGCAGACCTGTGACTTGGCTTGTCTTTAATGAAGTCCGAAATTTTAAGTTTTTTAGATTTTCTATTTTCCGTATTTTTTAAATGCATTTTAAACAACTTAATTCTGCCTAATAACGTCATGGATACGGTAAGAACAAAACTTAAAACAAGTATTAGGAAAAGTGAACCTTTGAATTTCTTTAAAAAAATTATATGTTCTGTGGAATTTTTGGCCTCGCAGAATATCAAAATTTGTACTGGCGTCTTTTTAATATCAGGATTTAAAAGCCAGAAAGAACTGCAAAATTAAAAGAAAAAACCACTGTTTTTACAAAAAACTTATAGATTTTACAGCGGCGGAACCGTTCTGAGCTGCTTCTGGAAGCCACAGGAGGAGTCTGTAAAAAATATGGTATGCTTAAAACTTTGTCACGAGAGTTATACTTTACTTAACAAAATATTAATCTGCAGAATTGGAAGAAGCAGCTTCCATTCAATGCGTCCTGTTTTTCGTGTTTTATCCTGTCAAAATTATACATACGCGGCTCAGGATGGTTTTACGCTGTAAAATACCAGCGATTACTGAGAAAATAGCCGTCTTTTTTCAGTTTTGCGTTCCCTTCCGGCTCGTAACTTTCATTACCAAAAAAAACGACATCACTGGACTCTGATGCTTTGTAGTGTACAAAATTCTGAACCAAACGTCTCTTTAGAGATTTTTAAAGACACGTTTTTCTTATATTCTGTCAAGACCTTGTTTTTATTGTACCTGCAAGTTTTCTTCTACAGGGTTAAATTATTTAAGGCGCATTTAAAATTACAGAACATGACAAACTTTATCGGTAACGGTAGGCTTGCTAAGCAGCAACCGGGCAAGTTTCGCGACTTTTAGAGGGTGTAACCTGGCAAGAAATTCATTTTGTCAGGTTTTCTTGACTTTCTGTATACTGACCTAAACTTTACTAAACAGCAGAATTTAAACAAATTCTGACATATGAAGGGAAAATAGTGTGCGGTTTGGCATGAAATGGCTCATTTATTTATAAAGTTTATGTGTCTGTCATCTCAAAAAAATTTCATAACAGTTTGATCTGTCTGATGTAATCTTCAGAATTTGACCTTCAATAAATGACTTGTAAGACGCGTGACAGGGGACAGCAAGATGTGCTTCGCTTTTCTGACAAGCAGTAGCTACAGCCTCATTTGTCATCGACTCGCATGTCGCATGAACCTAAACAGCAGTTGCAAATTTGTGGTACAAGTCTTATCTTTTTCAACAACTTCTTTAATCCCTCTTATTTTTATTGATATTTTGCGGAGCGCACTAAATATGTAAATTAAGCTTTGCCAGGTAGATAAACATACTTTGGAAACCTGGCATTTGAGAGGTCTGTTAAGCTACTCTTTTGGTTCCTTACCTTCAAGCATTCATGATTATACGTTGCCCAACCTTCTGGACACCCGCATCGCCCTGAAGTCAAACTTGATATAATCAATCTGAAGTTAAAACGCTAAAATGTTTCTTTGTTCCACTGCTTGGGATATGTCTTCAAAAAGCTTGTCTGCGTAATGCATTCTAAGTAAGATAAATTACGGTAAAAACGCTCAAAAAAACTTTTTTTCGGTGTGGGCAGTCTGTCAAATTGTGTTTTTGGAGCGGAAGCTGATAACTTCATGAAGTTTTGTCTTTGGGACTCCTGTGTGGAGAGAGATGACATTAAGGGCGGAGCCGATGGTTGCAGCTGTTTTTTGATCTGTTTAAATTGTTGGAACGGTAATGGCTGTTTTTTCGGTATTAATGGAGGCTCTGAAAACACTTCTCCATTTATAGATGCACTGTTTGCATGTGAAGGCTGCTGAAATCTTTGTAAGTTTTTTGATGATTTTATGGAGCGCGTAAGTATGAAACTTTGTTCCAAAGATGAGGAGTCCAATGGTGCGCTCTGCGATCGAGATTCAAAACGGGGTAGCATTGGCTGGCCCGGCGTAACTGATTCCATAGATTGGTTTTGGTGAAATGTGAGTGGTGATAAGTTAGTTAATAAAAACTGATCATAATGATTCGGTGATTCAGAAGACGCGTGTGCCGAAGATAGTGGTCCCATCGATAAAACCGGGCCAGAATGAGGCGGAGGTAATGATGATAACGATGCTGGGAGAGGTGGTGATGGTGGTGCTCTAGATATAGGCGAACTTGCAAGTGCTTCTTTTGACTCCATTTGAGCATCAGCCGTGTCAAATACGCTATATTTTTTTCCATGTTCAAGGTTGGGCTGTTGCATCTGTCTAGCTATCTCTTCAACTGAAGCGTCATCTGGGAGACGAATAATTTTCTGTACAATTCTGGGTCGTGGAAGCATAATACCAGAATCGTCTCCTGAACTAAAAGATGATGGAGGCAGAGTTGGGGTTGATATTGGCAGTAATTGCAGCGTTTCCTTGTGCGTGTTGAGTTGTCGGTTTGAAACCATGACAGGCTGTCGATGCTTCCTCACTGCAAAAACTTTTATCAAGCATTGCGAGACTTCGTTTTTGATTATAACACTTGTCTATACTGGTAGGCGCAATATCTCCTACATAGGGGATTGTATTTGCACAGAAATCCATGTGTCAAACCGCAGCTAACGTCAAACCAATGCCCTCTGTCAAATATTGTATTCAGAACGGCACATTTAACATTGGTACCGCAACAATTATCGGGCTGCATGAAGCCCCACTGTTTGAAGTCAAAAGGCGAATTGTCTGTCCAAGACCAGCGTTCATTGCTTTGTTTTTCTAGTCCAATCCAAAATTCTTTAAACCTGCTCAACTCTGAAATGCCAAAGTAGAACAATTTTAACAGTAATTAGAAAAAGCAACAGTTTTTGCTGCCAAAAGTTTTTTTTAAACTGGATGGCACTTAATAGATCATCCTGACGACGAGATCTACCAGTCTGGTTAAAATATAACTTTGCTGACTTCTCACAAATTTATCCTCTTCCTTAGAGTGTATTGACACTAAGTCAGACTGTAGGGCTTTGCAATGCAATTTCGCTTCGTCATATTGGAGTTTGATGTTACCCTTGGCGATTAATCATTAGGCAGAATAATTGGAGAATTCACAATAATCAGATTTAACCAGTTCGTTCGTTTCGAAACACATTTATAAATTCAGTTACAATTATTAAAGCGATAAAATTTGTGCAGCATTATTCCGCTGCGTCCAATCAAAAGGAGAATAAAAGTTTCAAAATTACTATTTTTGCGTTAGGTTGCATAACATACCGGATAATAACAGCTGTTCTTCCACAGCCAGAAAGACTCATCACATTTCACTGGAAAACTGTATGTCATAAACCCATAAGTTAAGTAAGTGTGACGTATTATTAAAAACAAAGGTGACAAAACCTTACACTCTTTTTTAATTGGCTTTTGGAGCAGAAGATTATCAAAACGCCGATCTGTTCCAAGACGTGGTATTGGTGGCAACGGCATTGGTAAAAGTGCTGATTGTGACGGTAATTCAGAGAAAGTCAAACTTCTTTCACCATTTACACTAATATATTCTGCAGATAGAATAAACAGAAGTACAAAAACTGCAAAAGCTTTTTTTTGTTACTATTGTACTTTACCAATAACTGCTTTGCTTATTTCCTTTAGTTTTTTAAAATACTTATCTGATAGTTTCCGCTTTGATATTAGAACTGCAGAACCAGTTAAGTTTTGAAAAAAATGTCGGCTGGCTATTGTTAACTATTTGAGCATATGTTTAAAAAATACGTTTTCAGTCAAATTTCAGATAACCTCCAAAGAAAATCACAAGTTATACCATAAATTTGCAATTGTGCCCCCCGTACTTCTAATAAAAAAATTCAAGACTGAGTCCGGTCAAAGTACTGAACGCTAAGAAACATGTAAAAAGTATAATTTTTATCTGATAAAACTGCGTAGGCACTTTCGCAAAACGTTCAAGCCGTCGGTGCGGTAAGCATTAGGAGCTAAAATGCCGTAAGAGTCAAAAATATATATACATTATAAAACCAATCACTAAAATTTTCTTTTAATCACAAAATTAGGTAAAAGTTGAATATATATTAACTTTGTTATCAAAATCAAAAATCGCAATTTGCTGCAATAACCGTGATCTTTTGGCAAGTTGTGAAAAAGTCATTCCACTTTTTGTCAAAAAAGGAGTAGTTTTTTGACTTAAATAATTCAGTTACAATATATACTATTTACTTGTTACACTATGACCAGACTGTAAAACTAATCAGTGCTCAACCTTTTGTAGCAGTTACACTCTGACTAACAAACAGCTTGCTTCCCAAAAAACTCAAGTGACGAATGATCTTTGTCTTGTCCATCTTTAGAAAGTCACACAAGTGGAAAACGGGCACGCTTTAGCGTTCCTGACACAGAGAACAGTACAAACCAAAAAACCATTAAAAAATGCTCATATCCTCGAAAAATTTACCATTGATGCCATTTGAGACGCATATTTGAAACAATAGCAGCAGAAACATGCTCTTGATTCAGTTCTGTGACTGGTGCACCTAAACTACGACTTCAATTCTTTAAGTGCCAAGAAGACTCATTGAGACGAACCTTCACATACAGCTACCGTTTTTTGAGGCAAAAAAAGTTGTTATTTTCATATTTTAATCATTAGATTTCATCTACCAGCATTTCACTACGACCACAGATTACAACTATCAGACAAGAAATAATTGTCATCTTCTCATAATTTTCGACATGTTTCTAGTATTAACTACCTAATGTAGAGTTTCAATAAGTATTTTACTTTTAGGCATGCAGTAAGTCAAGATGACTTATAGTTTCCAGCAGACTGCTCAATAATTCTTAAAAAACTTGGAAAACAGAAAAAAAGTTTCATCAATCGCCCCTTACGCTCATCGCTCTGTTACGCGCTGCAAAAGGGTTTCATTTATCTTTTTTAATAAATATCAAACGGAAGCTGTCTAATGACAACCTGCAAAGCATGTTTTAGGATAGTGCTGACGTGGAAGTTTTGTAACAGAACTTTTTTTAACTAGATCAAAGAATTTCCCTGTCAAAACTTGAAACCTCTACGACTACACTATAGAAGTTCTCAAAAGTTAAGCAGAAATCCTTTTTCCGAGAATACATTTTTGTCACTGAAACTTTCACGAAAGCGCTAGTGCTACTGCAAAGTCTCATTTTAAAGCTAATTAGACTCTACAGGCGCACTTCCACCACCACCACCCCTTCCCTACACGAGTTTTTTGATTGTTCTAGGCTTAATTTGCAGCAACATCAAATTTCTTATTCAAACCGTTGTTAATTTATGCTTATTAAGCGAATAAACCATCTTGAAGCAACCTACTAAATAAACCAAGAGACTTGAACCGCGGAAAACATCCCATACAGTGCTAGGAAAAAGTATTTCAATGAAAATGGAAAAATGCGAACAATTGGCTCTCCCCATTAAGAACCAAGAAATCAAAATCTTCTAAAAAACCATAATTGAATTGTTGCAAAGCTATTGTAAAAATAAGGGGCGTCGCTTAGCCTTATTCTATTCAGCAGCACTAATAAGCGCCTGATTCATTTACAAAAAAATCGTCCTATTAGTCAAGCATTAGATATCTTCGTTGACTCATGCTTCTGAAACAAATGAAAATCATTAAAACGGGATGCTTCATCACCACGAAGCTAAAAAAAACATCTTCATCTCGAAATAAAGAATACTTTGATTCCACTGAGTACGCACTACCTTTCATAGCTCAGCAGACTCACTTTAATTTTCAAACCGGCCAACAACTTTTTTTTATCACTTGCTCTTCCGCCGATAAACCTCACCCTTAGCTAATAAAACGCAGATGAACTGGCAACATCTCACGAGCGTTAGTAACTGAAAGTTTATTTCATAGGGGAAATGTGTAAACATAAAGCTGCCATTGCTCAATATCTTCGGAAAACTTTCGACACTTCATACAAAAATTTCATGCGATTAGATTTTGAGAAAAATACAGATATATACGCTACATATATATATATATATATATATATATATATATATA